ACAATGACAGAAAATGTGCTGCAGTTTATTACTAGGTGTTTGTAGCATAATATACAACACCAACCCAGACAGTACAGCTCTGCAAACTATTAAACATGCCAATAAAAGTCACTTTTTTTCATGTTTTCAAGGTTAATGGGTGTTGGAAGAAAGATTAAAGACTGCATAATGCAATTAAAAAGCAGAAATAAACAGGGAGAAATAACAAATAAAACACGAATCACATAATGCTAATTTACGGATATTTCTGACAGTGTTTATTACTGGTTTATGCTATTATTATAATTTGAACATGGTTTAATAAAAATATGACTTAGAGAAATAATGATTTCTAAAAATACACAAAGAAAACAATAATTTTATTTGGTATTTGGGGAATTATAGTAATGTGAATTGAGGGAAATGTCATAAATTATGAAGAGAATCATTTCAGGTGAAAGTAAACTGGACAGATTTCACGAGAGTATTATTAAAAATTATAAAAAGATTTATAAATATAATGATTTTTTTTAATGCACAAAAGAAAAACAATAAATGTATTGGATTTTGGGGAAGTATAGTAATTAATTAATATGAATCAATTAGGAAAATGTTTTAAAATATCAAGAAACGAATGTCCTTATTTCAGGTGAACGTAAACTGGACAGATTTATGAGAGGCGAATTACTGAAAACACTTAATCAAAAATTATTTTAAAATATTGTTTATTAAAAATATGGTAACACTTTAATTTGATGGTCCACTTGAGTATTAGTAGACTACATTTAACTGACTATAAGAAACTTTGCAATTACATGTCAACTTACACTAATACCCCAACAGTCTACCCAACAGTTTACTTATAGTCTAATAAGAATTAGTTGGCATAGATGCAATGTAACTTAAATTCAACAAACGGACCATCAAAATAAACTGTGGCTAAAGATATAATTAATAAATATAATGAATTCAAAACGTAATGGGATTTGGGGAATTAGGTCCCACTTTATATTAAGTGGCCTTAACTAATATGGACACAGGAATTAACAGTTTGTTACAATGTACTTAGTGTAAATACATATATTTATTGTGTATTTATGCTTGATTTAATACCGGTATGTAATTACATCTGTATTTAACTTCTTTAATTACATTTGTAAATACACTGTTGACCATCCCTTACACCTTAACCCACCCTTAAACCAACCCATGCCACCAAACCTGTCCATAACCCAACCTCTATCCCAACTCAAAGAGCACCACAAGTGTTCTCAGATCCATTATAAACACAGTAAGTACATTGTATTTATTTTTTGATGGAACTTCATAGTAGTTAAGGACACTTAATATAAAGTGGGACCGGGAATTATAGTAATGTGAATTTGGGGAATTGTCATAAATTATGAAGAAAATAATGTCCTTATAATTCAGGTGAATGTAAACTGGACAGATTTCATGAGAGTCATGTGCTGAGATTACTTTATGTACTGAATTTACATACATTGTAACAAAAAATCTCAACTTAAACATGTAAGGCAGCTGTGGAGCTTATTGAGATGAATGAACTTAAATCGAGTCAAGTGCAGCACTTGGGTTAGAAGTTGAGTCAACTCAAATAAGCTGAAAACAGCAAGCGGCCTTATAATTTTACAAGTTGAGTCAACCTTTTATTTACAATGCGTAATTAAACACTCTAAAAATGCTGGGTTGTTAGGTAACTTAGGTTGGGTCAAAATATGGACAAACCCCACTGTTGGGTTAAAAAGCGTCATTTAAATTGAATTGAAAAAAATGTTAACAACATTGGGTTTGTCAATATTTGACCGAACATTAAGGTTACAGCAGCTAACTAAACACTAAAATGTTTGTTTAATAAGTTGGGTCAAAATATGGACAAACCTAATTGTTGGGTTAATAAAGTGTCATTTAACATGTTCAACACTGCATGAAAATGTTGTCTAAAACAAAAAGAATGATGCTTTTTAGTGGTTAAGGTTGTTTTTATCATTTGCTGTATTAGGCCTGAAACAAGCTTTTCCCAGCCAGCAGCGAGTTCAAAATAAGCAGTATTGCAAACTCAGTCAGATACACTGGTTTATACTTGCAAGTTGCTTTAACATGTTTAACAGTGCATGAAATGTTGTGTAAAACAAAAAGAATGATGCTTTTTAGTGGTTGAAGCTGTTTTTATCACTTGCTGTATTGGGCCTGAAACAAGCTTTTCCCAGCCAGCAGAGAGGTCAAAATAAGCAACATTGCAAACTCAGTCAGAGACACAGGTTTCCACTTGCAAGTTGCTTTAAATGTAATAAAAATAAAAAATAAAACAACAATGGGTTTGCCAATATTTGACCCATCATCATGTTTACAACAATCCAATGTTTTAGAACTAACAAAACAATCTAAAATGCTGGATTGTGATGCTGTGTTCACACCAGACGCGGAAGTCGTGGATAAATTGCAGCATTCGCGCGTAAATAGCCGCGTGAACACTTGAGTTTACTCGCTTCATTCGCACGTCAAACCCCGCTTCATTCGCGTGTCAAATTCGATGCGGATTCGCGTGATGGGCAGGGCTTCTGTCTGCCCGGTGACTCTAGCTTCATGGCTAAATGGCTAACATGGATTTTATGAAGAAAATAACAGTGTTTATGTACTTTATGAAGGCTGATAAACAGCGTTGATACGTTTAGGGCCGTGTCTGAGTCCACTATATCCTTTCAGAGGTGGATCCAGCTCTTTAAGCTCATAAACTCCTCCAGAAACTTAACCTGGATGATGGAGGCTTTCAGCGGTGCTTCTGACTGAGCCCAGACCAGTTTGATGAACTTCTTGTCGGTGTCGGCTGGAGGATTTCCCCTGGGACATCGACAACAGGCGATACGTCACATTCACACCCCCACAAGAGCAAGCCCAGATTGGTTAACGTGGCGCGAATGTCCGCTGAAGTTCAGATTTTCGAACTTGAGCGATTTGCGCGAAACGCGCGTTAAGCGTGTCAAATGCACAAAACGCTCAATTCGCGCATATCGCGCCGCAGGATGTCTATTTGCACGTTTGCATTGACTTAACATGTAAATCACTCGCGCTTGACGCGCATTCCGCGTCTGGTGTGAACACAGCATGAGATTGGGTCAAGATATTGACAAACCCAACTGTTGCGTTAAAAAGCGTCATTTAAATTGAATTGGAAAAATTAAAATAACATGAAGCTTGTGAATATTTGATCTAATATTATTCTTATAACAACCCAGCAGGTAACTAAACACTTAAAAAACTGCTAATTTTAAGGATTTGTTTAGTGTAAGGTGAAAGGAAAAGCCAATTATTCATAACCAACAATCATCATGTTTAATCAGTACGACTACATCAAGTGTTATTTCTTCTCAAGTGTTCACTACAGTGTTTCATACTCCTGTTCCTATGAAAGAAGCCAGTGTCATACCTTTCATTCAGCGAAAGTTCAGTATAAAAACCACCAATGATTGGTTCCTGATTGAGATCGTGACTGCATTCAAAGCGCAGACGAACGCTCTGTATTAGGATCCAATCCACAGTTTGAGAACCACATCTACATACAATTCAAGTTATAAGTACAAAATGAATACAGTAATTAACACCTCAACCACATGGAGCTAATGATATGACAAAACTTGTTTTTGAATCTGCCACTATGCTGACACACAGGCATTTTTAGCTCCGCCCTCTTTTGAAAAAGAGCACAATCTCATTTAAATGTAAAGCGACAGTCACCAAAACAGCACAATTAGGATCAAAGCCTAAAAGGGTCAGTTTCAGAGAGTTAGAAAACATTACTTTTGGAGTATTTTGAGCTGAAACTTGACATACACACACTCATCAGAGACTTATTTTATCAAAAGGGGCATAATAGGTCCCCTTAAAATAGTTTTAAATTAATTATTTTCTTTTATTTGAATATTGAGCATTTGGAATTTAACACAATCGGCAAGCATACCTCACTTTTTCCTGTGGATGACCTGCACCATCTAAATTTCCGAATATTGATCAATCAATGTTTGTATCCGTGTACTGACTCAGTGGGTGCAGTGAACAGTGTCAAACGGTCATATGTGTATGGACTGTCCTGTCACAAAACAGAGCGAAAAGTCCAACAACAAGGTAATAGTTTGATTGTGGTGCTTATATGTCTGTGCTGAACTTCAATAATGCCACTAAAATCAGAATACTACACATTAGGGTTGTGTGTTTTCAGCAGTGTACTGTGGAAGGAGGGCTGTTCAGAAATGCTATAGTTGAACACCATTGTGGACGTGGATCGTTTTCGTTCTAAAATGCCATTTTAAAACTATGACGTATTAGTGTAAACGGGCCCAAGTTTGTTTTTTCATGAGCAGGTTGCTGCTGCGATGGGGAAGGCTCAGCATCGTGATGTCTATCGACCATCTGTGATGGACGATGGCATCGTCTATTGACCCAATTCTACTCCACATGTCTTCATTCCATTTCTGTTTAGTTCCAGTATGACTTTAGTCGGGTTAAAGTCATCAAAATTTGTTTACATGGTCGATTGTTAATTACAGTATTGTTTTAATCAATTAAATCGAAGTATTGGTGTCCATGTAAACACATTCAATGACACATCTATAAGAGTTTGCTTCAAAAAATCAATTGTCTCTCAATTTCAAATGCTCAAAATTCATGTGAAACAAAAACAAATCAAAATCCCATTGATTTTAAATGGCGTATAATGTTAGTTATTAAAAATGAGCTATTTTAATATAAATAATTAAATACACAGTGCTCAGCATAAATAAGTACACCCCATTTTGATGATTAAACGTTTTATCAACATTTCAGTGATGATAGGTAATTTATTAGGTGCAAAACAGAATTATTAAACTGATATTTTCAATACAATAATATTTAAGTCACCGAACATCTTTAGAAATAGATAATACATTTAAATTCATGCAAAATTTCATTTACAATCATCTCAACTAATTGTAAAATATTTTTGTTTCTCTTAATTTTTCCTCTTATTTTTTTTTGTTGTTGAATTTTTATCAAATATTTTTCCCTAACATATACATTTGAGTGTACAGTACAGTTATTTTGTTAGATTATCTACAGATTTGGCTTCATTGATGAATAATCCAATTCTATCTAATCTAATATGCCCAAATATAATATTCTATAGCATAACCATTAACCTAAAATATAGATTTGTGATGGGTGTACTTATATATGAACTGTACTTGTTTACTAAAAAATATTTTTGTCACCAATTCGACTTCATAAAATTCAAATAGTTTTGTCACATAGTTAGCTCCATACTACCGGCAACAATGGACTTCCCGTCACACTCTTCAACAGACCCCTATGCAATATGACCTAAAAAAAAAAAAAAAGGCCAAAATAATGTGCAGTTCATCTCTGCATAGGCTGTCAAACACACATCATCACGTCTTCCAGTTTGTAGTGTGTTTTTAACAATGCAGAGAGACTTTCCTGTTAAATCTGAGACAGCAGCAGAGACGGTAATGTTAAACGGAGGTAAACCCGTGCTCTCCGGCCCGAGCATGGCGTCAGATCACTGCGTCCTTCACACTTTTGATCTGATCTGATCTGATCTGCAAACAAAATTCCCTTCAATCAGTTCTTTAAATCTAGTTGTTACACGTGTTTTAGCCAGCAGGTGTCCCTCATGTTAATCCTACGACACTTGGTCGACCGGCCGCATCTGCACATCACCGATCTAAAGCGGAAAGAGAGAAAGAGAGATTAAGTATGTAAAATGTAATGTTTGCTACTAAATTTATGGACAGTTGTGTATTTAAATTTTTTCTCTTTAATGTCAAAATATTTCCTAAAGAGAGAGAGAGAGAGAGGGAGAGAATGATAGAATGATAGAAATGCCAAATGACCCAGCCGGGACTTAAACCAGAGACCTTCTTGCTGTGAGGCAACAGTGCTAACCACTGAGCCACCGTGCCGCTCTATTTTGATCATTCATTCATTCATTCATTTACCTTATGGCTGAGTCTCTTTATTTATCTGGGGTTGTCACAGCAGAATGAACCGCCAACTTCTCCAACATATGTTTTACGCAGCGGATGCCCTTCCAGCTGCAACCCAGGGGCAGACTGGCCATCTGGCAATTCTGGCAAATGCCAGAAGGGCCGGACCAATTTTTAAATGTGGGCCGGTCAGTTTTTTTTTTAGTATGTATTGTTTTTAAGTGCAGACAGCTTTTATCTCTTGCTAGTTGTGATATTATGATGATGATAATGAAAATAATAATAATAAATGTTAAGCATTTGGCCCAATCGGCAACTGCCGCCTGGTTTCAAGATGGGCCAACCCAATCCAAGGTTACCCAGACATAATCAAAATCTGGCAAGAATGTCATATTATTTCATCATCTTTACACCGAAATAAATAGTGAATGTGCGTGTCCGTGGGTGGGGCTGTGTCGTTGTGGTAATGTGGGTTGGTGTGGCAACAGTGCCAGGGCTAAAATTTTGTCCCAGTCCGCCCCTGCTGCAACCCATCGCTGTGAAAGATCCACACACTCATACACTACGGACAATTTAGCCTACCCAATTCACCTATACTGCGTGTCTTTGGACTTGTGGGGGCCATGCCAACACGGAGAGAACATGCAAACTCCACACAGAAATGCCAACTGATCCAGCCGAGGCTTAAACCAGCAACCTTGCTGTGAGGCAAACGTGCTACCCACTGCACCACCATGCTGCCTATTTTGACAATGCTTTCATTAATTTGTCTTAATTCAGATACTTTATTGACTTTTTAAAAACATTTGAATGTTTGATGTCTGAGCACTCCTTTGCGGTTCTCCAGGGGTCCTGAACCCCAGCTCTTCTAATTTATTATTAAATATTCCAATTAACTAAGATTAATGAATGATTTAGAAAGGTTTTTCCATTGTTGGAGGATGATAAATAATGCAGTTAGCTATTGTCAATGTTAACACATTAGACTTTATTATAAAGCCTTTCATGCTGCAGTGGAAATAGAATAATATTGTGTAGTTTTAATAACTTGTTTCTAATAACTGATTTCTTTGCCATGATGACAGCACATAATATTTGACTAGATTTTCTTCAAGACGCTAGTATTCAGCTTAAAGTGACATTTCAAGAGTTCACACTTAGCTGATGATTAATTATGAAGCTTGTTTGGCATGCTGTCCAGGGAGAGAGCCCTGAGCTCGCAAGATCCACGAGCCAGAGGCTCCCTCCCGTTTGCAAGGCGAGAGGGGAGTTTGAGCTCAGGTAGATCTCGAGAACTTGTAAACTCCGCACAGAAATGTCGGCTGGCTTGGTAAGGACTAGAACCAGTGACGTTCTTGCTGTGAGGCAACAGTGCTAACCACTAGGCCACCGTGCCACCCATCTATGAAAAGAAGAGGAGGAGTAGGGGTGGAAGGGGGTATTCTTCAAAATGAAGATGACTATCATAGGGAACTTAGGGTATTTATAGTGGCTTAGGAATCGTCTGATTGGTGAATCATGAATTGAATAATGCAGGACCGGCTGTGATCAATCATAAGCACGTGATCCTCTCCAAATTAGTTTATAAATAAACTTCACTTAAAGGCTTAACTAGGTTAATTAGGGTAAAGGTAGGGTAATTAGGCAAGTCACTGTATAGCAGTGGTCTGTTCTGTAGACAATCAAAACAATATATTGCTGAAGGGGGCTAATAATATTGAACCTAAAATGGGTTCAAAAATTAAACTGCTTTTATTCTAGCTGAAATAAAACAAATAAGACTTTCTCCAGAAGAAAAAATATTATAGGAAATACTGTGAAAATTGTCTTCTCTGTTAAACATAATTTGGGAAATATTATTATAATTTTTTTAATCATAAGAGGGTGAATAATTCTGATTCCAAGTGTAAATTTTTATTTTATTTTAAATGGTAAAGTTATATTTGCTAATATTCCAGTTGTTTTTTTTGATGTTGTTTTTTTAATTGAGATTAACAAGACAATACATCATAGTATACAATACATTAAAGGAAAAATTACAGTGTCTTATTTTTTTTATTTTCCCACTTTCCCCCTAAAATAAAATAAATTCAAATGTATGAATTATAAACAAACATATCCTCTAAAAGAAATAATAATAAATTAAAAATAAAATACAAGAATTTAAAAAAAATTGTTAAACAGTATAATAATAAATGAGCAAGTTTACGATAAAAGTAAAATAAATAAATAAATAAATAAATAATAACAATTGAAAAAATAGTAATTAAAAGTTCACATTAAGGAGTCAATATTTCCTCTTTTCAATTAATTACTGATTATTAGATCTGATATCAACTAAACAAGGTAAGCCTTTGATGTAGTCTAAAACAGGGTTCCAGGTCTTGTAAAAAGATTTGAGAGACCCTGCAAGCAAACATCGTAATTTTTCAAGTTTTATGTAACTAAAAATTTCTCGGATCCACATGTCATGTGATGGAGGAATCACCTGTTTCCATTTGATAAGAATGGCTCGTCTAGCTAGAAGAGTCGAAAAGGCAATATTCAAGTTGTTTTACTCACTTGAACATGCGCAGGAGCGCTCAGCACGTATGTGACGGCGCTGGCGATGTCTTCAGCTTTCAAACACTGCAAAACACACACACCTTTTTTCACATCTGACCATATGCTGTATGAGAAAACACACCACACAGTACCTTTATATTTAACCCAGGCTCATTCTGAAAACGTAGCCCTATATACATTTCTGGAGAGCGCCAAATACGTCCCAGGAGCTACGTTTTTGTTTTCGCAAATCCACCAGAGGCTGCTGTGTATGCTTTTTCAGATCTCAAATTTCTCTCACGAGTGCCATTCGAGCCTGCTGTTTTCATGTAAATCTACCAGAGGTTGCTGTTTACTGACTGACTGACCGATTGACTGACCCACCCTCCTCCTTCCCTAACCCAACCGACAGTGTTTTTAAAAGCAATCCAGAAAAAGAAAAGTCCTCGCCTGATTTTTACCACGTTTTCAGATTTTAACACATTCTCACCTTTTTATTTACTTGTTTTTGTCTTACCCACTTTCTGTAACCGTTCTCCGCCAGACTCGAACCCTATCATCATGGTCAACTCCTCTCTGACTCTCAAGTCCGTCAACATACATGGTGAGCTACTGGACAAACTGGTAAAGCAGTCTATATGGAGGTAAGCGGTCAGCTGGTAATCGCAAAAAAATGGCGTCATACCGCCCCATAGGGTTTAGTTTAAAGACGAAATGCAGCCATACGTACTTCTGGATACATAATGTGAGATCTCCAGTAATGTAAACAGGGCTAAGTTTTCAGAATGAGCCTATGTTGTTTATACTTTACCTTTATACTTTCATAAACAGCCGCGGCTCTCTCCGGATCGCTGTTATGATGCCGAAAAGCAAACTCAGTCTCCACTATTCCAGGTGATATACACTAGAGAAACAGACAACTAAAAGCTTACTAAATATGGCAACGTCGAGCATCCAAAACCTTTTCTAATCTGCAGTGTGCATCATTATAGAGGTCAGTATTCTGATCAGTCTTTTACAAACACGCTGCGGATTTACAGTGTGTTTTCTAATTGTGTTCGTGCTGTGAGGATTTGCAACAAGTGTGTTGTCAAACCCATGAAAATGTTTACTTTATTTGCTGGTGTTTTCTTAAGTTGCAACGGTTTGAGCTCTCTAGGCCACTGTACAATGTACTAATTCCAAATAACATACATATATTAACCCTTGTGTGCTGTTAGGGGTATATATAGGCAAATTAGATTTTTTAGTTTCAGAATTTTAAAGCAGTTTAACGATTTCAATGGTTTTTATTAGATATTGCACGTCATTCAATGCAACAGGAGATATGCCGAGCTAGTGCTGTTCCCATGCTGATACACTTTCGGTGACCTGTTATTGTGAACTTTTTCCATTTTATACGGTTCCTTATACAGCATCGATGTTATAATGTCATTAAAATACATTCAGTTAAATAAACTTTAGCATTTATTTAGTTGCTCAAGCGTAAAACAAGTCAAAAAGACGTTTACTCGCACGCGCCCGTCAGAATCGGCAGGCTAACGCAGAAGCTCCATTAAATATACTGGGGTAAAATCAATGCTCATATAATAAAGATATGGCGGGGGATATGTAATTTAATGCAGTGCTTCTTGTACAATCTGAGACCCACTTTAAATCGGATATCACTCAGCTATTGGAGATCACTGATTTTTAAAGAAAACAGACTTTAAACGCACCGGATTTTGCATTGGCATTCAATTTGCCAGAAGCGCTTAACCCAGGTTACTCACAAATTAAAAGTCCTGTTAGCATGCTTCAGCAAATACCCCACTACGCACGCCTTCATAGAGGGCTTATGACCTACTAACTATGGTTTTCCTAAAAAGCATTGGGTGCAACCTAAGTGACAACAAATTTAGTTACAAACTAGCTAGTAGTTACTAAGCCCCGAATGTAGACTTTACGTTCCAGTTTAAGAAAAAATGTACGATCGGCTGGTGCAACCCTACTCAGAGCTCCATAAAAAGTTTTACACAGGCCTATCTAAAGGGTTAATGCTGACAACTGATGATCAACAAGTAAAAATGACACATTTGACCTTTTAACAACAGGGAAAACCGGCAACAAAAAAAGAATGCATGATTATATACTGTAAAAAATGTGGTTATAATGAAAGTCAATGGGGCAAAAACAGCCACCAACATAACCAAAGGGTAGTACATTTGAACAGTAAACAAGGGTTATACTATTAATTTTGTATTTATTTAATATTTTTTTGCATCTGTGTGTGTGTGTGTGTGTGTGTGTGTCCTCACCGTGGCTCTGATGTGTGTTTTGGCCTCCCGCAGCTCTTGTCTCAGTCCTTCTGTCATTGCAGTCACGGCATATTTAGTGGCACAGTAGAAGTGTTCATCAGCGCTGGACACCATCCTGTGTCCACCCATACTGACCACAGCAGAGAGACACAAGAGACTGACATCAACACACGCACATACACAAACATGTATACATAGTTTACAGAGACACTCTATAGGTGCAATGCATTTTATTCAGTCATTCATTCATTTTTCTTCGGCTTAGTCCCTTTATTCATCAAGGCTCGCCAAAGCGGAATGAACCATCAACTTATCCAGCATATGTTTTACATGGTGGATGCCCTTTCAACTGCAACCCAGTACTGGGAAACACCCATACACACTCATTTACACACACTTATATACTATGTCCAATTTAGCTTACCTAATTGACCTATTGCGCATGTGTTTGGACTGTGGGGGAAACCGGAGCACCCAAAGGAAACCCACGCCAACATGGGGAGAACATGCAAACTCCATACAGAAATGACAACTGACCCTGCCGGGAACCAGCGACCTTCTTGGTGTGAGGCGACAGTGCCACTGCGCCACCCCAACATTTTATACAGTTCAAGCTTATTATACAGCTTTACCCCTAAAGCCAATCCTCACAAGAAACATGGCACATTTTAAATGTCAAAACACTCGTTGAGTATAATCATTAAGTGTTTTGAATCACAACACAGATAGCATACGAATGTGGGCCACTTTAGGCAGTTATGCGGCACTGTTGGTATTCCTTCGGTCCAGACAAAGTGAATGTGTGCCTGAAGTGGCCCACCTGTACAATAGCAAAGGGGGGCCAAAGATTCAAATTCATATATGGGCCATTTAAGGCAAAGATTTGGCACTTATTGCAAAATGTAATCTGAATGTGAGCCCAATGTGGCCCATGTGAAAAATAATAAATTTGGCCCAAACGACTGAGGACAAATGTGGGCCACAGTTGGCAAAATAGTGGCATAGGCATTTAAGGTGAATCTGGGTCTAAACCTAAAGTGGCTCACACGTGTAGGTGCAAATGTGGGCCAGTTATCTTATGTCATATGCGGGCCACTTTTGGCAAACTTTTGGCACAGTAAGCTCTGGCTTTGTGAGTCTAATGTGGCCCAGAGAAAATATGGCTAATGTGGCTTAGTTATTTTAAAACATATTTGGGCCACTTTCTGCAAATATTCAGCACAGTAAACTCTGGCTAATGCAGCCGTTAGCCTATTGTGGCCCAGAGAAGATATGGTAAATGTGGCCCAGTTATCTTAAATCATATGTGGGCCACTTTTGGCAAAAATTTGGCACAGTTAGCTCTGGCTAATGTGGTTGTGAGCCTAAAGTGTCACAGAGGAGATATGGTTTCCAAGGTTTCCATATCCAGGACCAGGCCATATCCTGAGCTGCTGCTGCGCTGATGGTCATGGGGAGTGGAGAACATGAGTCTGATTCCAGCGACGCTCCAGGAAGAGACGAGTCTTCGCTGAGGCCATCTTCCAGCCTCCACTGCGGTGACTGAAGCTCTGCACAAGACTTTTGGCCAGCGGAGAAATTAAAATGGTCGTGCCCAACTGAGTCTGGTTCTCTGAAGGTTTTTTTTCTTCACTCCCATCAGGTGAAGTTTTTTTTTCCCTCTCCGCTGTCGCCACTGGCTCGCATGGTTCAGGATTGGTAGAGCTACGCATCGATGAATTTGCTCTTCAGTGTTTGAACTCTCAGTAATGATTAAATCACACTGAACTGAGCTAAACTGAACTGAACTGAACTTAAACACTAAAACCTGAACCACACTGTTCCAGTTACTATGACCATTTATGTGAAGCTGCTTTGACACAATCTACATTGTAAAAGCGCTATACAAATAAAGCTGAATTGAATTGAATTGAATATGGCGAATGTGGTCCAGTTATCTTAAAACATATGTGGACCACATAGACTAAAGTCACCATCATGGAGAAAAGTGTTTGCTTTAGTTGGGCTCATAGCCCTGAACCTCTTAATATACATTGAAAATGAGCTGTTGTAACTTTTAAGAGCTTTGCTTGAAGAGTGTGTTCATTACAGCAAACAAAATGAAGTGAGGCACAACCTGTGATGAAATAATATAATTCACTGATGTTTACCAATGATAGGCCAGCTCTGGGCCAGAATAAAAGCAAACTGTGGCCCAGAATAGGGTCAGTTCAGGTTCATTTGGTTAAATTCTGGCTAATACATGGCATTGCTTTGGATTATTTGTGTCCCAGATTTGACACACAAGAGCGAACCGCCCTAGAACCCAGTTGCTCCAGGTGTAAGTGTCTGAATGTGGGCCGGATCTGGGCCAGAATTAAAGCAAACTGGCCTAGAATAGGGTCCGCTCTTGTTCAATAGCTTGAATTCTGGCTAATCTGTGGTATTGCTATGGCTTAATTGTGTCTGTCATTAGCCACATGAATCACAGACACAACAAAAACAATTGCGATCACATCAGACTCAAAAACCAGTGCTCGGCTCATGAGTTTGACAGCCAGTGAATACATGAGCTGAGAAAACTGCAACACAGGCTCATTGGGAAAATGTGCCCAGGAATACATTTCTGAGAACTGAGAAGTATGTGCCTCTGCGTACATAATAGCTGCATTTTATGAGTAAAACGAACACTATGGGCTTAATAAACAAGCCTTCATATTAAGGGTGTCACGATCCTCCAAATCCTCGATTCGATTACATTTTCGATTCTAAAGGCCCTAGAACCCAGTTGCTCCAGGTGTAAGTGTCTGAATGTGGGCCGGATCTGGGCCAGAATTAAAGCAAACTGGCCTAGAATAGGGTCCGCTCTTGTTCAATAGCTTGAATTCTGGCTAATCTGTGGTATTGCTATGGCTTAATTGGGGGTCCAGATCTGGCAAACAGGAGTGGACCGTCCAAGTACCATCATTCCATGCGGTATGTGGGCTGGATGTAAGTGTCTGGTGTGGGCCGCATTTGAGCCACATGAATTTTGCTAGCTGGGAAGGACACAACATACCTGTATGTCCCTGTAAACCACCATAATAGAATACAAATAATTCATACCCTCGTCATTAAATAAATTTGTGTCCCTGTAAACCACGTAAACACACTCACACACACTCACTCAACTTAACACCTACACTCACTTACAAACTCTCCCAAACATGCTCACACACACAGTCAGACACAGTCACACACACTCAGCCGTGCAGTACCTGTTGATGTTGATGATGTGTCCGTCGTCTACATGTCTCTCTCTCATGGACTGATAGGCCTCCCGTGTGCAGATGGCCAGTGCCAGAATGTTCACCTGTCAATGAAGCAACGATAAACATCCTGATAAACAGCAGAAACACAACACAAACATCCCGATCACATCATAGACACAACAAAAACAATTGCGATCACATCAGACTCAAAAACCAGTGCTCGGCTCATGAGTTTGACAGCCAGGGAATACATGAGCTGAGAAAACTGCAACACAGGCTCATTGGGAAAATGTGCCCAGGAATACATTTCTGAGAACTGAGAAGTATGTGCCTCTGTGTACATAATAGCTGCATTTTATGAGTAAAACGAACACTATGGGCTTAATAAACAAGCCTTCATATTAAGGGTGTCACGATCCTCCAAATACTCGATTTGATTACATTTTCGATTCTAAAGGCACGATTCGATTTGATTTTCGATTATGAATAATTAATTTATTAATGACGAATTAATTATTTGTAGCCTACCGTTTAAACTACCTGACCTGCGTAGTCTTTGTTTTACCCATAAACAAATCATACAGTAAATGAATAAAGGCAAGATACACACATAATTACCACCTGTCAATCACTTTTTCTGCGGGACTCGTGAATAGGCAGTGATCTGTGTCGTTATAATGGCGTCGGTAAAAAAGACGCACAACCAACAGGAACCAACCAACAGTTTCTGAGGTGTTCGCTAAAATGACTAAGTACAAGTGAGTGAAAGATTGAAGCAGTCCTCTGACTGCCTGAACCTGCTGTCTCGAGCCCATGGCTGTGTGTGTGCGTCTGTGTCTGTGTGGTCACGTGATGTGCATTTTCAGAGGTAGAGAGGAAGGAGGGCTGCTCAGAAATGCTACACGCCACTGGATGTCAAATCGTTGTCGTTCTAAAATGCCATTTAAAGACAAAGACAGTGTAAACAGGGCCTGAGTGTGTACTTTTCGCGAGCGGATTTGCAACGGGGGCGGGCGGAGGATCGCGATGCCGGTGTTGTCTATCGGACGAACCGTACGTAATACGTACATAGCAGAGCTTGCAAAACTGTGTTTTTTTTTGTCGACAACACGAACGTTGTGAACATAACTCACTGGAAATACAAAATGCTTACACACCGGCGACTTCATTGAAAGAGGAGAGGGTTTAAGCTCTGTCGACGGGTCTCCTGCTTCTGCAGTTTAACAAGCACTTCAACAAGCCTGTTTTTTTCCCGCTTGGCAAGCCAAGCTGACGTGACATTGGGCCGTGGCAGCATCGACGATTCTATTTTTTGATTTGATAATCGAAATTGAGCATTAATTTCGATCGATTTCGATTAAAAATCGAAATCGTGACACCCCTACTTCATATGGTGTGTGATCAGAGGGTGAAAAAGCCGCGCAGTGCAGCACGCAGTGATGACAAGAAATAGATTGATTAAATCAAAAAGGCGTTCAAATTGCGCAATGACACGAAATAATATAGATCGCACCACAAAACACATTAGAATGAAAGTAACGAGCGTGGTTTGAAAATGTAAGGAGTAGAAAGTACAGATATTTGGCTAAAAATGTAAGGTGTAAAAGTAAAAAGTTGTCAAAAAAGTCAAAAGTAGTGGAGCAAAGTATTGATACCAGAAAAATCTACTTAAGTACTGTTCCCATCTCTTTGTTTAAGCTTTTCTTCAAGTCAGATTATAGTGTGTGTGTGTGTGTGTGTGTGTGTGTGTGTGTGTTTAACCTACATCAATCATATTCCTCCAGCCGTCTGTCCGTCCGCTGAGCAGAGGCTCATTGTGTGCCAGACCGGCGTTATTGATGCACACGTCCACTCCCTGATGAAGCGTCTTAATGGCGGAAAACATGGACAGAATCTCTTCTTCATTGCACAGATCACACTTATACGGGATGAGGATACCGCTGTACCCTGCGCTCTGACACTCCGCCGCCAACTTCTGTAATGACAACAAGAGAAAACAAGCATAAGATGACCTTCTGAAACTCTGATATACTGAATGTTGATTATACACATGAAGTATTGAACACATGGTCAAGTTTTTTTCCTGGGAATACTATTTCTAAAGGAGCTGTTGACATTGGATTGAAGCAGATTTTGGTAAAAACTCAAACAATACAAACTAAGGGTGTCACGATCCTCTAAATCCTCGATTCGATTACATTTTCGATTCTAAAGGCACGATTTGATTCGATTTTCGATTATGAATAATTAATTAATTAATGACGAATTAATTATTTGTAGCCTACCGTTTAAACTACCTGACCTGCATGGTCTTTGTTTTACCTATAAACAAATCATAAAGTAAATGAATAAAGGCAAGATACACACATAATTACCACCTGTCAATCACTTTTTCTGCGGGTGATCTGTGTCGTTATAATGGCGTCGGTAAAAAAGACGCACAACCAACAGGAACCAGCCAACAGTATCTGAGGTGTTCGCTAAAATGACTAAGTACAAGTGAGTGAAAGATTGAAGCAGTCCTCTGACTGCCTGGACCTGCTGTCTCGAGCACATGGCTGTGTCTGGGTGGTCACGTGATGTGCATTTTCAGAGGTAGGTATTATTCAATACATTTATATTATTATATATTATTCAATAAATTTATATTATTCACTATCTGAATTAATTTTTGTAAGATGTTAGTTGAGTTGACATGGTTTCAGTGCTTCAATCTATTGATCAAATCTTCATGCCAGTGTTCATTGTGGTCTGCTCTCACTGGATTATTCCATCAAGCCATATTTTGTGTTTGAGTCGTCACTTTACACAGTTTTTATGCCATTTTTATGCTTTTTTTTCAGCCTATGCACAGCTAGACTCTTCTGTATTTACCCTTACAGCTGAGAGTCTAAATGTATCTAAATATTTAAAGCTTTAAAGTTTTAAAGAGTTTTGTCATTCATCAGCCTGTTAACAGTTAACTGATGTAACTAGAAATACTACAATGGAGGCTGTAGTGGTTCAGTGTGTTCTGTTTATTTTTATTCCTTTTTTTTGTGCACATCATAATTTACTCAGGTCGACAATCCTGACTTACACTGATAAAAAATAATTTCCTAAATACAATCTAGAATTGGGTATTCAAGTTCAAAGAGCCACAAGTTTTACTTTGCATAATTTTAGAAGCTTCGCTGACTTTAAAATGTTCATACCAGTGTGTTCTATTAATAATAATACTGAACATTACATTTAAATTAGTTACACAAACAAATATGGGAAAAAGTGGAACAAAAATGCATTTATATTCAGAGTATTAAAATTTGATCAGATATGTTGAGCTCCATTAAATACAGAGCACTAATACATTTTAATATTTAATAATTATTAGCCCTATAACATAACACAAACAGATACATTATAATTTTTAAAGGCTATAGTGGTTTTATTCAGGGTGTATACAATTTAGTTTTTTTTAATCATCCAGTTATGAACCAATGTGAGTAAGAGGTCCACTGCAGAGCTCATCCAGCTGTCATTAGTGTAACAGCAGTGAAACTCTGAGCACTCGCTGATGTGATGACAGCTCCATTCATTGTTATTGCAGCACTTTTTGCTTTACAATTTTAATATGTTTGTTTGCCATGCTGCAAAGAGGACCGTCTGATATTTGTACCATGCAAAGTGTAAAGCCTGTCGCACTGTGGACGAGGTGCAATGTTGTGCTGTGTCTTTAAAATGCTATTTGTTTCCTATGAGTGAAGCCTGCGCAGAGAGGCGCGTACTCCGCAGCACCTCGGTTACTTAGGAACGCAAGCCATAAACAGGGAAGTGCTTTCAGCCTCCGATAATGTTTTTATTGATCGTGTATTTTAACTGAAATATAGTCAGTCAAACCTGAGCATTCATTTACTTGTTTAGCGTAAAAGAGGTAAGCGTAAGTGAAAGGTAAACGCCGTCAGGTGCGGCAGACAAGCGCCAAAAATCACAGTCAGGAATCGCCTGGCCAGAAGCGCTTATTCAATAAAAGTCCCCGTGCACGGAGACGGGCCGCTGCGCTTCTTTTCCTGAGTCACGAAAGTGTCAACTGCATTTAAATGACATAAGCATAAAGCTTCATTTTTGCAGTACTTTTGAGCTCAAATTATAATAAAAATATATTAACCTTCAGAATGATGCGGGACACAAAATTCATCCATGTGGGCTCATTGATTACCCCTCATCTAAAATTTCTTTGCGGCCCCCCTAGCGCCATCTGGCGGCCCCCAGTTTGAAAACCCCTGCCATTATACAATGGCATGATATCAACATGCGGTTTTTGCGATCAAAAGCATTATACATTTGTCGACAACTCAATCACTCTTTTATATTTCCAAAAATAATCATGTTAGACAATTTAATCACTATATTTTAGTCCTGTGTTCAGAGCACGCTTAGCAGTAGCAGTATCAGCCATCGTCTGCTGAACTATGGTAGCTGCGCAAGGACATCTTAAAGAAAAAGTCTGCATTTTCTTAACCACTAGGGGGCACCAAAGCATCATATCATTCATTCATTTTCTTTTCGGCTTAGTCCCTTTATTAATCCGGGGTCACCACAGAGGAATGAACCGCCAACTTATCCAGTAAGTTTTTACGCAGCGGATGCCCTTCCAGCCGCAACCCATCTCTGGGAAACATTCACACACACACACATTCACACACACACTCATACACTACGGACAATGTTTTTGACTGTGCATGTCTTTAGACTGTGGGGGAAACCGGAGCACCCGGAGGAAACCCACGCGAAGTCAGGGGTAAACTCCACACAGAAACGCCAACTGAGCCGAGATTCGAACCAGCGACCCAGAGACCTTCTTGCTGTGAGGCGACAGCACTACCTACTGCGCCACTGCCTCACCCTAAAATGTACTATATACTACATTCTGTCCTGTGCTTCTCCTGAGCTCACAGCTAATTGGCAAATTTTTGGGGAAACCCAGAAAAAGCTTGTGATTGGCTCTCGTCCATCTCTGAGAGGCAGACGGGAGAATTAAAAGAAATTAAGAGAATTAAGGGGCCTTGAAAGGGGACGAGACTGTACTGGATGAACCCTAGTTGCTATGCAGAGTAATAAAGTATTTCTGTGCTACAGGCATCTCAAGAGAAACTACTAATATGTTAAATTACATCAATAATAACCAACTTATGAAGCAGTCATAACCTTTAAACTGACTTCTGCTAGAATGCATGCAAATTAACCAATTTTTATAAAATAAAAATAATAATACAATTAAATATTAATACTAATAAACAAATAAATATATAAATCAACAATTAAGTGGATTATATTAACTTTTTTGTGTGTGTTTTTTGTGCACATTTATATTTTTTGTTTATCAATTCAATTGATAATATATCGTATTGATTGTAAATCAATTGATCAATCAAAAATGTTTTCACAGAATGCATCTATCACTGTCAGCCATCTTCTATTAATGACATCACAGAACAAACCAGCTAGTATATCTCTATTTCATCTTTTGGAGGTGTTTAAAAAGTCCCTGAAGAGGACAATGACTATTTTCAATTCAAGTTTTCCTTTTCCTCCACTGATTATAAAAGTGAACCACTTATACTACACCAGACATTTAATAAATTATAATTGCAAAAATCAATAGCATAGCCCAGAGGTGGAGCTGCACCAGGAGAACCACTGAGCACAGAGGTGGAGCTGCACCAGAAGACCTACTGAGCCCAGTGGTGGAGCTGCACATGGAGACCCACTAAGCCCAGAGGTGAAGCTGCACTAGGAGACCCACTGAGCCCAGAGGTGGAGCTGCACCAGGAGACCCACTGAGCCCAGAGGTGGAGCTGCACCAGGAGACCCACTGAGCCCAGAGGTGGAGCTGCATGTACAGCAGTTGTAGTTGCAAGCAAAGTCAAGGAAGAAAAAATGAGGTAAGATCATTAAACACTCGTTTATGAATTACTTTTTTGATCCATACATTAAGCAAAACATCTAGAATTTAAAAAAGAAATCAATAAACATTTTTAAATGTTTGTTTTATTATGACATAAGACAATTAATTACATTGTTAAGAAAATAGAATATACTAGCAGGTGACAGAATCAGATTTGTAATGCAATTTGACTGCGCTGAGTATCTACACTCTACTGTCTGTCCCTGTTTAAACCTTGCCTGCCTGAGCATTCTAAAACAAAGCTTCATTTGGATCCGACCCCTGTTGTCACCTCCACTCATTACAATAATGTTTTGCATAATGTACAATGTCTTGACTGGCCTTGATTCTACAACTTTGAATAAAGAAACAACTGAGGCATTTAGTAAATGTCTATCACTGTCTGGCATCTTCTAATAATGATGCCATCATGGAACACATTTTTGGAATGCAAGATTGTAACCACTGCTATATACAGTTGAAGTCAGAATTATTCGCCCCCCTTTGAATTATTATTATTTTTTTATATTTCCCAAATGATGTTTGACAGAGCAAGGACATTTTCACAGTATGTCTGATAATATTTTTTTCTTCTGGAAAAAGTCTTATTTGTTTTATTTCGGCTAGAATAAGAGCAGTTTTTAATTTTTTAAAACCCATTTTAAGGTCAAAATTATTAGCCCCCTTAAATTCCTTTTTGTTCCGATAGTCTACAGATCAAACCATCATTATACAATATATTTCCTAATTACCCTAACCAGCCTAGTTAACCTGATTAACCTAGTTAAGCCTTTAAATATTTAAGCTGTATAGAAGTAAAAAATATCTAGTCAAATAGTATTTACTGTCATCACTGTCATTAGAAATGAGTTACTAAAACTATTATGTTTAGAAATGTGTTGAATAAATTTTCTTTCCGTTAAACAGAAATTGGGGGGAAAAAAATAAACAGTAGAGCTAATAATTCAGGGGGGCTAATAATTCTGACTTAAAATGTATGTAGTAAAATCACAAAGGTAACCATTATATATAAAAATATATATATAAAATAT